TTTCACATACTGTAGTTGTTGTTGCCTTAAACCTTAAATAAATGTAACTTTTCTTACAATCATTTGGCTAAAGTCAGTAGTAAGAACAAAAATCTGACCACAAACTTTGTTTAAAAATAGTCAACTAATTGCTCTGCATGTTGATGTAATATTACTCTTTACACAACTGGTGGCTTTGTCATCTTTAAATAATTACATTCCAAATTACAGATCCAATTTTAACTTTAAATAAATGTACCGTTGGTGTTGCACTTCTCCAACCAAATATTAATTTAATATTTTTGCACTTGACAGCTATTTGAGACAACATCCACTTTGTGTTTTCAGACTGTACAGAACTTTCAAAGACAGCAAGTACCTCTACATGTTGATGGAAGCTTGTTTAGGAGGAGAGCTGTGGACCATTCTTCGAGATCGGTAAGCTCTACTTCACCAGGTAAAACTGAATTGTGTTACAAACGTTGAACAGTACAGCATATAGATTTGCACTTACAGGAATAGTAGTAGTATAATTCATTTCTGATGTCCTGCTGTCCAGGGGTTCATTTGAGGACTCAACCACCAGGTTTTACACAGCGTGTGTGGTGGAGGCTTTCGCCTACTTGCATTCCAAAGGCATCATCTACAGAGACCTCAAACCAGAGAACCTTATATTGGACCACAGAGGGTATGCCAAGCTGGTAAGACATCAATATGAAACCACTCACAACAACTTTAAATCCCATTGCTGGTATCATTTTTGAGCAGTCTAAAATAATTCAAACAGAATAAATCTCACACTTCTATGATGCTAAATGAAGGATCAAATAAAATCTGAAAATTTCCCTCATGGCATCTGTCGATAAAAGTACAATAATAGTAAAAAACATTGTATAATTGAGTCCATGTGTTTTTGGTGTACTGCCATTCGATTTTATCCTTGTGGAAAAACCAGTTTGTAGTTTTCAGCAAAGCAGCAACCAGATGCTCAACTCTTTCTATCCATCATACCAAAACATCGAGTAAAAAACTGTACTACTGAAACAATTACACTGTTTCCAGGTTCACCATTATTGTTATTCTGTACATAAGACTGAATGACTGATAAAAATAAGGACCATTGATAAGAAATTAATTCAAATTCTTATTGAACTTAGTCTGACTGACAGAACAAACCTTTTTTTTTTATTCAGGTGGACTTCGGCTTTGCCAAGAAGATCGGATTTGGGAAGAAGACGTGGACCTTCTGTGGGACGCCGGAGTATGTAGCACCGGAGATCATTCTGAACAAGGGCCACGACATCTCAGCTGACTACTGGTCTCTAGGAATCCTTATGTTTGAGCTCTTAACTGGCAGGTAAACACAAGTCTGGGCACAAAAACTAAATCAGAAATAATTCAACCAACAATGAATGAAAGGTTTAAAAGCAAAAAGTTTAAACTGTTTTATAATGCTTCATTCAATACTTTTTAGAAGATAATTATCAATACTAATGTACTTTTTTAGTCAAAACAAACATGTTTGCCTCTGTTATGTAGCCCTCCATTCTCTGGCCCTGATCCTATGAAAACCTATAACATCATCCTGCGAGGCATTGACATGATCGAATTCCCAAAGAAAATTACCAAAAATGCTGCCAACCTAATCAAAAAGCTATGCAGGTGAGTGCTGGTGCTTCTTATAGTTCAACTCCATGGTCTGTACGCCGAGTCATCATATCATATGGGGGTTTTTTTTCCACTGCAGGGACAATCCGTGTGAAAGAATGGGAAACTTGAAAAATGGTGTCAAAGACATCCAAAAGCACAAGTAAGCATACTTATTAATTCATTTCTCTTCACAGTAGAATTGTGCAGTAAAACATAATTTTCAAATGAGGTATAAATGCTGGTTTACCTTTTAGATGGTTCGAGGGCTTTAACTGGGAGGGCTTGAAGAAGGGGACATTGACGCCTCCTATTGTCCCTACTGTAAGTACACACTACTAATAGTCATCATGGAGGCGTCTGAAATTCACATTGTAGGTGCATTCCCATTCTGAGAGACAGAATTTAAAAAAAAATTCAGGAAATCACATTGTATGATTTTTAAAGAATGTATTTGTCTTGCACTGCTGAACATAAGTATTTGAACACCTGAGAAACAGCAAGAATTCTGGCTCTCAAAGACCTGTTACTGTGCCTTGAAAAAGTCCACCTCTACTCCACTCATTAATCTAAATTAGTAGCACCTGTCTGAGCTCTTTAAAGACACCTGTCCACCCCACAGTCAGTCAGACGCCAACTACTACCATGGGCAAGACCAAAGAGCTGTCAAAAGACACCAGAGACAAAATTGTGGACCTCCACAAGGCTGGAAAGGGCTACGGGGCAATTGCCAAGCAGCTTGGTGAAAATAGATCAACTGTTGGAGCAATTGTTAGAAAATGGAAGAGGCTAAAGACGACTGTCGGTCTCCCTCGGACTGGGGCGCCATGCAAGATCTCACCTCGTGGGGTATCACGGATGATAAAAAAGGTGAGGAATCAGCCCAGAACTACAAGGGAGGAGCTGGCCAATGACATGAGGGGGGCTGGGACCACAGTTTCAAAGGCCACTGTTGGTAGAACACTACGCTGTCATGGTTTCAAATCATGTATTGAAACAGAG